AAAGCTTTAATCAAAAAACAAAAGGCCTGAATCACACTGCTTCTCAATGAACTCTATTAATATTTAAAGGAGGGTTTTCATCTTTTCTACCTTCCAAATATTAGAAAAATAAATAGTAGTTCCTATTACGAAGCCAGTATAACCTGGTTCAAAGATGCAGTAAGCACACTACAGGGCTGGGAAGATGGCTCAGCAGACAACGGTACAAACTGGTGGAGTTCAAATCCTGGGACCCACATATTGGATGAAGACAAGGGACTCCTGCAGGTTGTTATCTAAGGTCCATTAAGTACCTTGGCATGTACATCCCAACACCAAATATCATAAAAGACTTAAAAGGAATACCATAGGCAAATACTTCTTATGAACACTTATGTAAAAATTTCCAACACTAATAAGCAGTTCCACAAGATCAAAAAATGATTACATGCCTTAGGAGGCATTTTACTAAGACTAGAATTGTTGCACATATGAAAAGGAGCCCAATGTAGTGCAGATTACCACAATGAAAGAAAATACCACAATTATCTAAACCATTAAGAAAGCTATACAATAAAACTTCACATAGTTTAATGATTAAAAATCAAACTCCAGGTGTTGGAGAGATCACTTGGTGGCTGAAAACACTGGCTGCTCTTGAAGAGGACCTTGAATTCAATTCCCAGTACCCACATTGTGGCTCACAACTGTAACTACAATTCCAGGAGATTCCATGTCCTCCTCTAGTCTCTGCAGATAACATGAATTTACATGTGGGGCATGCATACAAGCCAGCCAACACTGACACACATAAATATGAATAAATTATTTATAAAAAATCAAAACCCAAAACTAGAAGTTTGGAGTTTGAAATTAAACTTCCTATTCTTGTAAGTATTTATACAGTTCCCACAAAGTTATCTACTTTACATGACACTATTCAAAGTTGTATTAGAAGCTCCAGTTACAGACCAGGTTTACACACCAGGCAAGAGAAACAAAAAACACCCAAAATAGAAAGAAACTCTTTGTAGATGATTAAGATGCTATAAGTAAACAAACAAAAATGGAAGATACAAAACTATTATGTAAAAAAATCAGTTTTAGATGGTTAGATAGACTGCATATATGTTCAGATGTATGTTCAGAAAACAATTTCATTCATAATAGTATTAGAGTAAAATATTTAGGTATGTTTATGGTGCAACACAAAACTTTACATGGGAAGTACCAACTAACTGAAAATTTAAAAGATTTAAAATATACATCTTATAGTCATTAGGAGACTTAAAATACTAAAATGACAATACTCTTCAAGACATTCCTATCAAAAACCCCAAAAGACTTTCCAGAAATGGAAACGATCCTGCTAGAGTTCACACAGAATTGCAAGTGACCCAAGTAGATAAAATCACCTTAAAAAAGAAAATCGCTGAGCCTTGGTGGCTCATGCCAGCATTCGGGCAGCAGAGGCAGGTGGATCTCTGTGAGTTAGAGGCCAGCCTGGTCTACAGAGCAAGTTCCAGGACAGCTTCCAAAGCCACAGAGAAACCCTGTCTCAAAAAAACAAAACAAAACCCAGGAAAAGCAAAGCTGGAACTCACACGTCCTGACTAAATCTTTTACAGAGCTACAGCAATCAAAACAGTGCAGTACTACCATAATGCTTCAACATTCAGCTGGGTGTAATGGTGCATACCTTTAATTCCAGCAATTGTGAGGCAGAGGCAGGCCAAACAGGGTTACATAGTGAGACTCAAAAAAGTAAAAAAAAACAACCCTAAACAAACAAAAACCAAGCCAAACAAACCAAACCAAAACCTGAAACATTAAAAGCCAAACCTAACCATTTGAGTTCAATCCCCAGTATCTACAAGGTGGAAGGAAAGAACAAACTCTTTTCTTTTTTCCTGAGACAGGGTTTCACTATGTAACAGCTTAACTGTTCTGTAACTCACTCTGTAAACCAGGCTGGTCTTGAACTCATAGAGATTTACCTGTCCCTGCTTCCCGAGTGCTGGGATTAAAGTTGTGCAGCCATGCACCACTACCACCTGTCAAAAATGAACCCTTTTAAGTGTCCTGACTTCCATCATGTGCCATCACACACACACACACACACACACACACACACACACACACACACACACGTAATAAATTAAATACTTTTGTGCAAAGGATAGAGAAGAAAGACAACTTTTAACTGGATAAAATATTAGCAAACTAGTGTATTTGATAAGAATCTAGTATCTGAGCCAGGTGGTGGTAGCACTCACCTTTAATCCCAGGAGGAAGAGGCAGGTGGCTCTCTGTGAGTTCTAGGCCAGCTTGGTCTGCAGAGTGAGTTCCAGGACAGGCTAACAAGAAACCCTGTCTTGAAAAACCAAGCTCCTCCTCCTCATCATCATCATCATCTAGTATCTGAATACATGAACAAGTCTTATAATTTGGTAACAAAAGAGACACCATATTTGAAAATGGCCCAGTGTGGAGATATTTAACAGAAAATAAGCTACAAACAGCAAACAGATAATGCAAAATTATTAGGTATTAAGGAAATAAAATCCCAAACTGTCTTGAACCCAAGTCACATCAGCTAGGATGGCCATAATAAGACAGGAGAAAACACCATACACTGGTGAGGCTGCAGAGAAACTGGAACTCAGATGCTATTGGCAGCAGTGTAGTTTAAACATTTCTTACTAAGTTCAGAACATAATCACCATGTAACTCAACAGTTTCAGTCTGTGTATACTCTCAAGATTGTGAAACAAAGAATTAAACAAGTGCACACATAAGCTCTAAAAGTGGAAACAACCCAGATACTTAACAACTACTTTCAACAAACAGTATGGAGAGGAATGGAAAATAACTGCTCAATAATGAGTGCTGAGCTTCCTTCTGGGGTGATGAAAATGTTCTGAAACTAATGGGAGTGGTGATAACGGCACAATACCAAACACACTAAATGTCTCATTGATTGGATTATCCTAAAATGGTTAGTGTGGTAAATTTTACGTGTATTTTACCACAACAGAAAATCAAAAATAGGGGATGGAGAGATGGCTCAGACATAAAGCGCTAGGTTTGCAACCAAAAACATAAGAAAATTAAAAATAGAAAGTTAGGAGAGATACTATTACAGGAATTAGAGGGTGAAAAGATGGTTTTGTATTTTGTAAAACTATTAAGTTCTAACGTGTCTAATGGCATACATTTTTATATTCTATAGCAAATAAAAATGTTTTATAAAATACATTGGTATTTTTTACTGTGCTAGACACTACTTCTAAATATTAACTTTAAGTAGATAAGTGTCCATTCGAAAGAAGAAACACACTAATAGCAGGAAGAAAGAATAAATTGGACAAAGTATATGATTTGAACCATATATTGGTTCTACATATTCCAAAATAGAGTTTTTTTTTTCCTGTTTCAGACTGGGTTTCACTATACAGCTCTGGCTGGCATGGAATTGACAAAGAGATCCACCTGCCTCTGCTTTCCAAATGCTGGGATGAATGATGTGAGCCACCTACACCTGACCTAAAGCAAGGTTTTTGCAGGCAACTGGCAAAAATTCCTTAGTGAAGCTTTAGAAAAGGACGTTTTATAAAGTGTAATTGCACAAACTCCCATACCTTGGATCCTTCTTAATGAACTGTTTTGGGAAATTTTTTTTGTTTTTTGTTGTTTGTTTTTTTTTTTTTCCCCTTTGAGGCAGGGTTTCTCTGTATTGTTTTGGAGCCTGTCCTGGCACTTGCGCTGTAGACCAGGCTGGCCTCCAACTCACAGAAATCTGCCTGCCTCTGCTTCCAGAGCTCTGGGATTAAAGACATGTGCCACCCACACCCAGCCTGTTTTGTGAATTGTATGTGAACGAGAGAATAAAATGTGCAACATTTTGTCATGTGCAACATTAAACAGTGTTCTCATTAAAACAGACAAAAATCGTACAACTAATGATGTGTGGAAGACATGGTTGTACACAGCTGAAATCCCAGCACGTAGAGCCCAAGACAGGAAGGTTATAAATTCAAGGCCAGCCTAGGAAATGCAGCAAGACTATGTCTCAAAAGGAGAAAAAATACTAGGATAGAAAATAACCTGCCCATCCTTTAGATATACAGGACTACATGGAATAAACTGATCCCCTCTCCTGTACAAACACAAATGTAGTAAAAATGTCAAGTCTATGGATAAATATAAGGTTAAGACCATTCAGCAGCCTCAGCAGGAACTGAGATAGTATCATCTGGGACAGTATGTTGTTCAGAAATGAAACGATTAACAGATTATCAAGCACTGTAACAAAATAAGCACCTTTGCTTTTTCTTCTTCCAACTTCAATGTAAACTATTTCTATATTGCATGATGAAACTGATAACTTTTACAGTCTGACTGAAAGACTATTTACACTTGTGCTTGATTTTTCTAAAGTGACAATAATTCTCTACTTTGAGAATGCTGAAAATCTTACTATAGCCTCTTCCACAGTATCTCAAAACTACCAACAAAACAACAGAGTATAAAAATACTGAATGTGAATTGTCAAATGTGAGTTAGGGGAATCATTAGGAAGATTTCGTTTTCTAGCTTTATAATTTTCTCACAATATTTGGATTTGAAAGATTTTCTCCCAGAAACTTTTTTTAAATAAAAGTTTTATTGGAGAAAAATAGAACCACCACATACACAGGGGGGAAAAGCACAAAAACTCAACTGATACAGAACAAGTGAAATTCAATTATCCAATGTAGTTTGCCATTACTTTTCAGATCCTTAAACAGCTTCCCTTAACAGTCTGCCTAGTTTTTCAGCTGAAACAGCATCAAACTGTCAAAGAAATAAGAACCACAGGAAAGGGACCTGCTTTCAAGATAATGAAGATGGTATCAAGAGCCTCCTAGTAGGAACAACTCTACCTAAAAGTTTTAAGAGTAACTATGAGTGGTGTAATAGTCTCCATGTCCCAGAGACCAACAGGGATGAATTACAACACTGATGTTGATGGTCAGGTAAACATAATAACAGCCACATTTATTTCCTTGTCAGAAGAACTCCTGTAAGGAAATCAGGAAGGAGCTGGAAAAAAATATACGAAATAGCTGCTCAAAAAGAATTGGGACACTGATTCTAAATATTATATATAGTCATACAGTGTGCAAGTTGGTGCATTAGAGAAAAAGGGGCAACTTAAAAACACAGATAGCTGGCCACAGGTCTTTGAGAATTCAAGAAACCATCAATAGTAGACATAAAAGCCTCAAGTCTCCTAAGCTGAATGTTCAGGTCTAAGCAGTTCCCGTAATGGCTCCAGAACGACAAGGAAATATGCTGGTGGACAAAGCACTGAAGAAGTTCTACAAACACTAACAACTATCTGCTTCTCTCTGGTAATCCATTCCTATCACAGGAAAAGAAACCAGGAAGCAAAGCAAAACCCTCTTGTGATGAAGAGAAGTCTTTTACTCACATTTTGAATTTGAAGAACAATACTTTTGTTATTCTGTGTGAACAATTTGGGGACATTTCCCTGAAAAGCAGGTGTCCAGTGGCTATGAGAACTCTTAAAATTCAAGCAATTAAAAAGAAAAAGAATACAACGGAGAACTGTATGTAGAGGTTCTCCAAGTCAGGAGGTGGATGAAAGCAAAAGCTTTGCTTACCGACAAAGGTAAGAGCTGCTTCCAAAATTCAAAAACAAAACAAAACAAAAACCCTTCAGTAGAAAAAAACTGGAATGCAAAACCTAGGAAGCCTCTAACAATTGACCATTGGCCCAAGTTAAAGACAAAACAATCCAAACAACATGTAAAGACCGAAGCATAACAAGAAGTAGCTGGTGATCTTTGCTCCTGTAATTTACAAAACAGGTTGGTTTCTGTCTCTTGTAATTTTCATACTGTATTCATTTTTAATAAAAAGAACTGATTTCTCCCTCTTAATATGTCCTTCTAGTACAAAATGATCAGCGATTTTTCTATCTTATCTATTTTAATAAGTACCTGTTAATCAGCACAGTAAATTTGGGGCTAAGTCATATGTACACATCCCATATTCATGAATGGAAACCTTTAGGATGTGAATATATAAGGTATTATGGAAGTAACTGTCACCCTACTTGAAAAACCTGTTTCCAAATAAGGTTTCTTAACCAGTCCCTTCAGTGTAACAGAATGCCAACAGCAATGACAACTTATTTCTCTTTCCAAGGGAAACCACAAAATGGGTGAACAACCAAGTCTAGGGTGGTTTTTCTATTCATAAATACATCCAGAACTCTGTACAGTAAATAAAGTTTGCATGCAGTTTAAGTATCTTTAGATGACTTTTAAGCAAATAAACCTTTTGCTTCATTGATGATGTATAAGAATTCCCCTCCCCTGTTTAATGGCCATAGGGGTCTCCTCCCCAGTTCCAAAAGGAATCATGAAGATCGGGTACTTTCTTAAAGAGTTTTCTGCACATCATACTAAATAACATGCAAAGAGTTCAACAACATTCTTCTTAAAGGTTAAGTATTACTCTTTAAAATGGGCATGTTAACCACTGAGAAAAGTCCACACAACTATTTCCATTACACTGCTTCATTTGGTCATTGGAAGTATAAAAGAAGTCAAATATTATGAGATTCAACAAGTTACTTTATCCATTGGCTACGGCATAAGACAACAAATGTTCCAAGGCCAACATTCTATGCAATATAGTTGTACTGATTTGGGTTTTCTTTATCTCTTTCCATGTAGTCCCGGTCAATTAGGGATTCTATTCTCTTCTTTAGATCGGCAGGCTGCAAGAGAAAACATGTTTTCAAACTAAAGCTCATAATCATCAACATAAGCCCATCTAGCAACATCCCATCAAAAAAAGAGAATAAGGCCAGAAGTCACTGCACAGAGGCAGGCAGATCTCTTTGACTTTGAGGCCAGCCTTGTCTTACATAGAAAGTTCCAGAGGAGCCAGAGCTACACAGTGAAACACTTGTCTTTAAAGAAAAATGAGGGGAGAGCGAGAACCAAATCAGGTGTTGTGGCGTCTGCCTATAATCCTAGCTCAGGAAGATGAGGTAGGAGGACAAGTTTGAGGGTGGTCTGGAACTTGTCAGCCAGATCCTGTCTTAATCCCAAACCAAGATGTACACACTAGTATGTATGTATATATACATATTAATACTATCATACCCCTATTGTATCTATATATAATATTTTCTACTTTATCTTTACTACTTTTCTGAGATTTATTTTTATGTATATGGGTGTTCTGCTTGTGTGTTTGTCTGTGTACCACATGTGTGCAGCATCCATGGAAGAGGGTGTCAGATCCCCTGGAACTGGAGATAAAGATGTGTTAGCCATCACAGATATTAGGAACCAAATCCTGGTCCTCTGAAAGTGCAGTCAGTGTTTTTTTTTTTTTTCTGTTTTTGTCTTTATTGAGACAGGGTTTCTCTGTGTAACACACCTGGCTGCCCTGGAACTTGATCAGGCTGGTCTCAAACACACAGAGATCCTCCCAAGTGCTGGGATTAAAGGTGTACACCACCAATTACTGCTGAATCATCTCTCCAACCCTACTCTTTTATTTTAAAAATGTATTCTGAGAACCATAATCTATAAAAAAATACAAAAGATTTAACCCATAATTTCACACAGAACATATTCTAGTTTAGAGAAAGAATGTTACTTAGTTCAGTGAAGATACCTTGAAATGGCAAGTATATCATTATTAACAAATAAAAGCAAAAGCTAGTTCTCTAGTTTTTATTTTTATAAATTGCAGTTTAAAACATGGCTGAGCCAAGAGTGGTGGTGCACAATTTTAATCCTACAACTCAAGATGCAAAGGTAGGCAGATCTCTGTGAGCCTAAGACCAGCCTGGTCTACAGATTGAGTTCTTGGACAGCCAGAGTATCATGGCAAAACCCTGATTGGGGTGCACAATAAGACACTGTATCAGCAAATAGCAAAACACGTGAAATTAAGTAACTAAACAATTAATGCATTTTAAATGTATGAGAATTTATTATATAAACTATATAATATACTAGACCTAGTAGCACAGGCCGATAATCCCAGCTACTACTTGGGGTAGCTGAGGAATGAAGACTGTGACTTCAAGAAGGTTGGCAAAAACAAGTGGGAATGGGGGTGATTAGCTTTTTTCTTGGTAGTATAGCACTTGCCTAGTATATGTGGGGGGGCGTTGGTGGTACACACCTTTAATCCCACCACTCTGGAGGCAGAGGTGGGTGGATCTCTGTGAGTTGGAGGCCAGCCCAGTCTACAGCAAGAGTTGAGGAAAGTGTGCATATGTAAGGGTCCTACATTATACCCCCCAGTACCACATATCCACACACTATGAAATTTGACAAAATATCACATTAACTCACACCTATATGTTACTGGTTTACTATGAATATTAACTATGTACATAAGTGATGTGGATTTCTGAATCTTGTAGTAAGTTCAAAATTTATGACAATTTAGAGCTAGGCATGGTGAAGCATGCCTATATTCCCAGACTCAGCTACAAAGGGAACTCAAGATTAACCTGGGATGTATTAGATCCTGTCACAAACAACAACAAAATTTTAAGGCTGGAGAGATGCCACAGAGCATATGTGTGTACTGCTCTTGAAGAGGATCCAAGTTCGGCTCTGTACACAAGTAAACACCCATACAGAGTCACATAATTAAATATAAATATTTTAAAGAAATTTATAGCTTTGCATTGATAATTACACCCATTTCTTGAATTATAAAAAGCTAGTATATTTTGTATATGGCCCACAAAAGTAATGAGAGCATTCTTTGGTATGAACAGGTAGTTGGTTCTAGAAGCCCAACACACCCAAATCTGCCAATGTTCAGTATTTGCATATAACTTAGTGCTATCTTCCAGTACAATTCAAAACCATCTCGGCCAGGTATATTGACACATGCTTATAATCCCTGCACTGGAGAAGTAAAGGTAAGAGGATCATGACTTTTGAGGCCAGCCTGAGCTACACAGTCAGACCCTGATATAAATAAATAGCTTCACATCACTTACAATACCCCAGATTCCATGTAAATGTTATAGACTTTTCTTATATTGCTATTTATAGTTCAAATATTGAAAAGGAAAAAAATGAATATTTAATATAGATGCAAATTTTTGTTAAGATGAGAATCTCATTGCATTACTGAGGCTGATCCCAAACTGCCAGGTTCAAGTAATATTGCTGTCTCCGCTGGTAGCTATGAGTACATGCCACTGCACTGTATCTGTTGGCTTTTGGTTTTCTTTTCTGAGACAGGGTTTCTCTTTGTAGTCTTTGCTATACTAGAACTCCCTATTAGACCAGACTGACCTTTGCCTTCCCAGTGCTGTGAATCAAAACATTCACCACTATACCCAGTGAGTTAATGCATTTTGTTTGTTTATTTTGGTTTTGGTTTTGAAAGATAGAGTCCCTTTATATAACAGTCCTGGCTGTCCTGGAACCAGCTGGTCTTAAACTCACCAAGATCCACCTGCCTCTGCCTCCGGGGTGCTGGGATTAAAAGCATGTGTCACCACCATCTGGCCTAGCTAATGCATTCTTTTTGTTGTTGTTTTGAGACAGGGTTTCTCTGAATTGCTTTGGAGGTTGTCCTAGAACTCGCTTTGTAGATCAGGCTGGCCTCTACCTCCCAAATGCTGGGATTAAAGGAGTGAGCCACCAACGCCCAGAGGTAATGCTTTCTTAAAGAATAATTTTAACCTTTGGTTTGTTGAAGTCACAGACATGGTATCAATGGATATGAAGGGCTGATTTCAAAGTAAACTTTGGAACATATAAGACCCTAACTCAGAAGAAAATAAAAAGCAAAGGAGAGCCAGGTGGTGGTGGCGCATGCCTTTAGTCCCAGCATGAGGTCAGCCTTGTCTACAGAGTCCAGGGCAGGTTCCAAAGCTACACAAAGAAACCATATCTTGAAAACCAAAACAAAACAAAATAGCAAAGGAGAAAAAGATCAGGAAGTAAAATTCCATCTAATAATCCTGAGATTTAAATATCAAATGGCTTTGGTTCAGTTATGATCAATGTTATTGTGAGTGATCTCTTCCCTTCTAGCATTAGTAAGTGTTCTTGCTGGAAATGAAATGATTTGGTGAGCAGGTGAGCAAGTGTGGTAATGAGGAGGCAGTTTGAGGTTTGAAGAAGCAGCTTACCTTATTAGAAGTAATAGCTACTACATACCTACATATATACTAAACTTAATACTGTTTTGTACTTTCCATCTTATTTAAGCCTCAAAATAACAGTATGAGGGGGCTGGAGAGATGTCTCAGGGGTTAAGAGCACTGGCTGCTCTTCCAGATGTCCTGAGTTCAATTCCCAACAACCACATCTGTAATGAGATCTGGTGCCCTCTTCTGGTGTAAAGGTGTACATACAGATAGAGCACTCATTTCAAAACAAGCTCAGCAAGATTAAATGCCTTATCAAAATCCAAAGCTGCTAGGAATCCTAACAGCCAGGAGTCTATGCAACTTCTACCAAATGTTTATTACCAAAGTTTAGAAATCTTTTAAAATTTAGAATAGTCTAGTACAACACCTCACTGTCTAAATACCTTTATTACTGGACATTTGTATTGGGACATGCCAATGCACTGACCAATTTCAGTTTACTAGAACTATTATTAGACATTTTCCAAAAGACACTAAAACTATTTTATCACTAAAATATACCCAGCAGCCTCTGTAACAGATTTGATAAAGCATTTATAAGGTAACTAAATATGTCAAATGCCAAGTTATCTCCAGAAAAGATGTAAGATTCAAAAGATACATAGTGAATTAACTTCAAATTTTTCAAAGCCACATTTACTCACTAAACTTTCAGGTACAGGGAGGGGCTTTTGTAAATTGTTTCCCCAATTTATCACAGTTGTATGAATATACCAACAATACTCTTTTGTGAATAACATTTATGACTATATGAAATAAATACATGTCCTTCCAAATGACTTTAAGCTTTTTTCTATATTTGCAAGATTAATGTCTAAAAATCAAATGTAGTTTTTTTCATTTATAACAAGTCCAGTATGGAAAGACAGAAACACCTACCTTTACTGGAAATTTTAGCTGATTGTACACCTCTGAAACAAGAAGATTGTGGCTAAGTGTTTTCCTCATCTTCATAATTCGGACAATCGCAGCATCAATTTGGTACTGTCTATCTTGAAATACTCTTTCTGTAGTGCTTGCTTGTTCTTCAACCTAAAAGGAGTTTTCAAATGAAGTCAAACTTAATTATTAACACAAACTGTACATTAGGGACATAACAGTATTACCTAAATGGGACCTTATAAATACAGACGAAAGAGAAAAAAAAAAACTTGACAAATATAGGGCCTTTCTGTTCTAATCATACTGCTCTGAACCAATACAATAAATCAATGTCTATATAGGTTAAGAAAAAAATACTACCATTGAGGACTGGGGAGATAAACTCGGTTGATCAAGTGCCTGCCCTGAAAGCATGAGGATCTGATTTTTAAATTTAGATTTTCATGAACTCATGTAAAAACAGATTCCTGGAATTCAATACCTAGCCAGTCTAGTCTAGTTGGTGAGTTCCAGGCATGAAAAGAAACAAGGATAGCTCCTAAGGAATGACACTGGAGGTCATCTTCTGGCCTTCCCTAAAATTTAAAATGTTCATACCCATTGACCCAAAAATTTACTTCCATAAATTCATCTTAAAGAAAAGATCAGAGATTAAGATTTAGACACAGAACTTTTTTAGAACATTTTTAATGACCATGTACAAGAATACTTATTATGTAGCTATTTAGCTTTTTATTTTTGAGACAGGGTTTCTCTGTGGCTTCGGAGGCTGTCCTGAACTAGCTCTTGTAGACCAGGATGCATCTCAAACTCACAGATATCCGCCTGCCTCTGCCTCCCGAGTGCTGGGACTAAAGGTGTGTGCCACCATTGCCAGGCCATTTTGTTGATTTTTAAAACATGTGTGAGGTATATGCATTACATAAGTGTGGTTGGGGATGTCAGAGGACAACCTTGGGCATCAAGGGTCAGATACCTCTCTGATAATACAAAAAATAACCAAATAACTATGTTGACTGTCAACCCTATTATGTTTACTCCTCAACAAAAAGAAACATAAAATCAAATATCAAAATGTATTGGGCTAGACATAGCACAGAAAATGTTAATAGTAATGACAGCATTAGAAAAAAATAAGCTGTCAATTTCAGGGCTAGAAGGATGGTTCAGCAGTTCAGAGGACCTGGGTAGATTCCCAGCACCATTCTCAACCATCTAACTCCAGATCCAGTTGATCCACTGCCCTGTTCTTCATATAGGTCCTGGGCCTGATGTGATACAGCCACATTAGACATTCAAGAACATAATACAATTTTTAATCTGTAAATTTCTATTATAAATACATATAAACCTAATACAGTAGGACTAGAGAGCAAAAGGCTTACCGTTTCTTTCATTTGGATTTGATTGATCTTTATCCTGAATAGTTTGTGTTTGAAATCGTCATTACAAATGAATTTGTCACCATCTTCAATATCTTTGCCCTTTGGATTTTTAGCCAGGACTCTAGCTTTGCCACAGGCAAGTGACTGCAGTGTTCTTCTTAATTCTCCATCCTCTGAAGAAGAAATAATGGTTAGTCATTTATTTGTTAGTAGCATGTAGAACACTACATTCAAAATCAATTTAATTTCTATACATTCTCTATTAAACTTTTTCCCAAAGCCATCAACACCTGCTCTTTGTGCTATCCAATAACATATTTTTCTAGTTTTCTAAAAGCATTTATTGTCACCTCATGCAGACAGCCACTAAAATTTATGATGCAACATTTCCCTTCACTCAAGTCAATCACTAAAAGCACGCAGCATTTTGGCTGTTTCATTATCATTCCAGTATGCTGTATTCTCCATTAACCCTCTGCTTCATTGCTAGCGATGATACTACTAACCTAATCCAATGAAAACCCCTAGACTCATCTTTTAAGTCTTTCTTCCCCTTCATTCCGCTATGGCTCTAGTAATTCCATTGCTGTTGGAATCACTCCACTAAAAGCCCCTTAGGACTTTATGTCAGAATTATATCTACAGTTTCTAGGCTAGAATCTTTACCTGTTCCAGGTGGCTAGCCCTATTAATGTCAGGTTAAGTTGTTCAAATAGGTTATTTCTTTGAAGTCACTGTAGCACAGATTTCAGCTATATTCATCAGTATATTTATACATCTTACCCATTGAATTTTATAGCTCACCATTCTAAGCTACAAGCCTTACATGCTTCTGACTTAAACACTATCCAAGCCTTTTCTCACATTATTTCCTTTATTCATATGTCTTCTCTCCAACCAAAATTTGAAGGCCTAACTTCCACAATAATCTCTTGCTTCTCTTAGCACACTTCTTGTTAGCACTACATACTGGTATTTGCTGGTTTTGAAATTTTTAAGACTACAGAAGAGGTGCCGGGCGTTGGAGACTCACGCTTTTAACCCTAACACTTGGAAGGCAGAGGCAGGCAGATCTGTGAGTTTGAGGCCAGCCTGGTCTACAGAGCGAGTTCCAGGACAGCCAAGGCTACACAGAGAAACCCTGTCTCGAAACACCAATAATAATAATAATAATAATAATAATAATAATAATAATAATAATAATGATGATAATGATGATGATGATGATGACAATGATGATGATGATGATATAGAGGAGAAGCAGCACTCGGATATTCACTCTGTGAATTCAAGGCCATGCTGGTCTACAAAATGAGTTCCAGCACAGCCAAGGCTGTTGTTATACATGAAACCCTACCTTGAAATACAAAACAAACAAAAGAATACAGAGAAGGGGGTTGCAGAGACATCTCACCACTGAGGAGTACTTTCTGGTCTTTCAGAAGACCAGGTAGATGTCAGTTCCCAGCACCTACATGGTGACCCACAACCACCTAACTCAACTTCCAGGGAATACAATGTCCCCTTCTGGCCTTAACAGGTTCTTACATGTGTGCTCCACATATACTTACACAGGCTCACAACACGCACATAATTAAATGAATAAATCTTTTTTTTTTTTTTTACTTGCTACTTGACAGATGCAATACAAACCTATCCCAGTAGCTTGCTTGATCTCTTCTAAACTGAACTCCTCCCCTTCGTTAAACATTAGCAGCACCAGGGTTTGAAAAAGAGAGACCTGAAGTTCTTTTTTGCCCTGTTAGAGAAAAAAAACAAACATTAGCCTATTTCTTAAAACAACTGAAAAGTTAATCAAAAACATTTCTTGTAGGAAAAGCATTTTTAATTAGTGAGTTAAGAAGCACAGATTAAGATTATTTAAAGCCCTCCTTCAGTTGGCAATAAAATGTGCAGTTTGAGGTTTAGGTATGATTCCATAGAAAATAAGGTGAAGGATTAGTTAGCTTCTTAATAGGTTTTTAAATAATCCTTATTAAAACAGAACAAAGTAATGAAAATAACTCAGTCCTGGGTATCATTATAAATAATCAACATAAGTAGCAAGAAATTAATCCTGAATGCATTTTGTTTAGACAGGGTTTCATTCAGCCCAGGTAAGAATTACTTGCTTTATAGCCAAGTATGCCTTGGACTCCGAAAGGATTGCAGCCCTGTGCCACTATGTCCTGGTTTCAAATGTATTTTGATTTTGTTAAGATCAGTAATGATCCCAGCATTCAAGAGGCAGAGGCAGAGGCAGGCAGATCTGTGAGTTCAAGGCAAACTTGGTCTGCAAAGCAAGTTCCCGGACAGGATCCAAAACTACACAGAGAAACCCTGTCTCAAAAAAAAATAGTAATGAACAGCTAGCTATAGGATTTATTTAAAAAAAAATTAAAAAAAGACAGGCATTGTTTGCCTTAATCTCCCACTCTGTTCTCTAGCTTCCAGTATCATGACTTCTGACAAGACTCTGTAAACTCAGCATCCACAGGCAGAGAAAGAATATTGGTTTTAATTTTAGAGAAGGGCCAACTCAATTGCTGAAAAGGTGACCATCTTAAAATACACACAAAGCTATAACAAAGTATACGGTTGCCCTGTGGTGTCAAGGTCACACCTTGTTTTTTGGTCTTTTGATTTTTTTATTATTAATTTATTTTTTTACATTCCAATCCCAGTTCCCCATCCCTCCTCTGGTCCCACTCCTCTCAAGGTCACACTTATAAAACAACAGTTTGAACCTTCAAAACAAGGGACATGGCCTCCGTATCAAAGGTGAAGGTAGACATTAAGAAGTCAAGTTTTGGAAATATCCACTTACCTCTTTAAATTCAGCTTTTAGTACACAGTGTCCCAAGGTAGACTGCCACTGGAGTTTCCTGCCACTGTGTTTGCCTAAGTAAAATGTCTTGAAAATTTCCTGGAGCTTTACCATCTAAAAAAAAAAAAATAAGTGTTTCTTTAAGCTGCACACGCAATACCAACTTCAGCACTTTTTTTTTTTTTTGCTTATTTATTATATGTATGAGGCGGAGTGTGTATGCCATAGTATGCTTGTGAAGGTCAGAGTACAACTTTCAGGAGTCAGTTCCCTCCTTCCACTTTGTAAGCCCTGGGGATTGAACTTCAGAGGTCAAACTGTGGTGACAGTTGCCTTCACCCCTGGGCAACCTCAATTTCATGAGTATCCAGTAGGTATCGATGACTTTAACGTAAGGTAAAAATCTACCCAATGTAACAGTGCTTGACTATCTTTATACATACTCTTTGAGCTCTGCTGCCCTATTTAATCATTCCTTCACCTCTGGTGACTTGGGCTTCTGCATTCTACAGACTCCTCTCTCTCACTGCAGCTTCTGTCCAATGTTCTTTTGTAGGCTGCTGTTCTCCCATCTGCTAAACGTGAGCATTTCTAAAGTTCGAGCTCTGCCCTTTCTCATCTTCACCATATTCTTCCCTTACTGGGGGAAATCTACTCTCTGGGGCATCAGTGATACTTTCCACAGAGGATGCTGAATATCTTTCTCTATTCAAACCTTCCAGACTTTGGTCCTGAGTAGGACAGTTTTCAAGGCATTAGGGGACAATCATGGATCCATCATATTCACCAATCCTGACTTCAGGTAAAATATGGGTAACAGTTTTTGATAGTTATGAAGATTAAAGGGCCATAAGCTAAGAAATAGAAGAAGAATTGGGGAAAATAGCACTGAATTTAGAAATCTACCTTCATCAACAATGTCCTCAAGTGTACTTGGAAATTTAAAGTAAAAGAATAAAACACTCATATTTTGTTGGTATGTTTGTTGACATAAGCCTTTAAAAGCCATCTATTTTCAAATGAAGAGCTGAAAAAAGTGTGATTTCTATGTCTATACCTCAGGTCTGAAACAGTTAATCTTACCTCTGGTGGCAAATGAACTTCCATAGGCACATATGTTGGCCAGTAACCCATTGTCAGGATATTCACAGTTAATTCAATATTGCCAGGAACATTTTGGTTCTGCATATACTATAAAAAGATCAACACATACACTGGGATTACAAAAGTGTACATGTCACACCATAATACTGACTCAATTAAGAATTTCCTTATTCTAAAAAATGTATGTGAATACTAACCATCCTGCAAATAAAGGCAACTAACTATCAAGACTTGAAATGAAGGTTACACAAAATGCAGTAGAAAATACACAGGTGGTTATTCTGATACAGAGGCATACAAAAATCCTATAAAAAAACATCCTAGGCAATATGAACTCAACTTCTCACATATACCTGGGCTGTTATAGCATCTCTTCTCCATTCTTTTCCCCCAATGCTACCTGTAGTCCCCACCTTTGGAGACCCCTACATGGATTGGAACACCTTGCAGCAACTCCCATTCCTCACCCCACCAGCCAGCCCAAGTCTCAGGTTTTTCAACTGCTCCATTCCCTGTTTGAAGGTGGTGACCTGAAGTGGGAAAGGAAGAAGAAGGGGAAAGGGCAAGGCAGATAAATCCTATCCTGGAACTAATGTAAGATCCATGATCCTACTGACTCCTAACTTTCTCTAGTCCTTCAGTTCCATTTACCACCTTCAATACAGTGGTCAAGAAGTCATTACTCAAACCCGGAGAGCGTAAAATATAATGTGCCATCACCATTGCCTACTTGTTGCTACCGTTGTCTAGCATCCAAAGCAGCTAAGACTACAGTTATAAAAACCTATCTAGTTATGTTCTTAAATTTTAAAACAACTGTCTATCCATGTCTTCAAAATTACAGCTCCAGCCAGTCTCGCCAAATGCCCCCAGTGATATAATATACCACCCCCATCTTTTATCACTTCACCTCTCCCCCATTACAAACTCTAACATGCAAATCCTCCAACCAATTAGATGTCAAAAAAACCTAATCTTACTGTCTAGTTATAATTCTTGTTACATGAACTTTAGGCTAATACATTTACTTACATTCTGTCTTATTCTAGGTGTTTACTAAGACTAAATCCTGAAGTAGGTCAAATGTACTTAAATTTCATTGATGATCTGTTCCCTATACTGTAGCATTTAAGGGCCCATGAAGTTATTTGTAATAAATATATGTTCTATTTATCTTCTTCAATAGGGACTACTACAAAGGCATAACTAAAATATCCATAAGTTCAAGGAATTTGTAAGTGTTTAACTCACTTTTACCTGTTTGAACTGAATCATGATGTCTTTAGAAAGCTCCATGTCTTTAAACATCCCTTCAAGCTTGCTGGTGAATGCCGCTCCACATTCTATTAAAGATGTTTGGTTATTTATAACATTTTAAGGTAGTACAAACAGTATAAAAATCAGAAAATAAAAGGCAAATCTTACTTGAGCATAAAATATGACTGTAACTATTGGTAAGAAAGAGAAGAAAAATCTTCCCCCCCCCAGTGTGTGCCCTACTAATTTAGAGACAAACTCTTGAATTGTATAGCAACCTTATCCACTTTCAGGTATATTTGGGAACTTTTTGTACAAATAAACAAAATAATTCTTTTATCTTTAAAAAAAAGCCAATGGCTGTGGAAAGCCAACAAGAAGCATGGGTGTGTGGGGGGTGCTCAGGGCATGTGTGCACAGATACGGGTACCCATTCATGCATAGATATAGAAGCCAGAGGACATTGGCTGCACTACTTTTCCACACTTTGCCTTATTCCTTTGAAACAGGACGTCTCATTGAATCTAGAGCTAGCATCCAGGAAGCCCAGAGATTCGCCTGTCTCCCACCGCCACCCAACACTTAGCACCACTGTGGTCACACACATACACATAGCCTTTTCCCATGGATGTTGGCGATTTAAACCCTGGTCCTCATGCTTGTACAGCAAGAGCTCTCTTACCCACTGAGCCATCCTCCCTATCCCCTCAATTTATGTTTTCATCACCTGTATCAATCATCATGTGCATATGAAATGATCGACAAAAGAAAACAATTGATGAAAATAGTACAGTTAATCCAACATTTCCCTCAATTAAAGGAAGCAAAATTGAAATAATAAAAAAAGGAAAGAAAATGGCAAACATACCATGTTTCAGTTTGGACAGCATTGATTTTTCAGCATCTACAGATGCACTCTTGCCAACTAATAGGCGTTTGGCTAAATCTTTCTTATAGAAGGCCTCAAAAACATCTTTGCCTGTATTAAATAAAAAATCAAAAATAGAACTCATGATATGCCAAGTAAAGTTGTAACAAAATGGCTTCAAAAAGCTTAATCACAGTACCTCAAGTTATTTTACTTTATACATTTTATCCAAGTTTATTAAACTCAAGAACACTAGAGGTCTATGTCTATGCCAGACATTTTAAATGTTCTTTACTGTAAAAAATTAAGACTGTATTAACTTTTCTTCAGGGAAAACAAAACAAACAAACAAAGCAACAACTTTAGTGCACAGATATTGTTAGCACCAAAACTCAACAGATTAAAATAAGCAGCAAAATCCCAGGTTCATAATAGTGTGAAGGTCAAAGCTTAACGTAATTTAGTTACATTCCTCAAGTATTCCTTTTTCTCCCCTTTGGCTTTTTGAAACAAGGTTTCTCTGTATAACAGCCCTGGCTGTTCCAGAACTCACTCTGTAGACCAGGCTGGCCTCTTTCTCTCACAGGGATCTGCCTGCCTCTGTCTCTGAGTGCTGTACCACTACCACCTGGCTTCCCCAACTATTCTTTTTTAAAATCTTTATTTTATGTATGAGTGACCTGTCTTCACGAACACTAGTAGAGGGCACCAGATCTCATTACAGATGACTGTGAGCCACCATGTGGTTGCTGGGGATTGAACTCAGGACCTCTAGAAGAGCAGCCAGTGCTTGTAACCATTGAGCCATCTCTCCAACCTTTTCCTCAATTATTCTTAAGGAAATAAAAATATACAACGAATAAAAGGCAACCTCTAGTTCCCTAACAGGCTCTCCATGTTATATAAACATTTCTAGTTCCTCTAGAGGTGCTTTATTTGTTTTGTTTTTTGCTTGTTTGTTTTGAGACAAGGCCTTGCTATGTTGTCCTAGTTGGTCTGATACTCACTATGTAATCTACACAGCAATGCTGCCTCAGCCTCCCTAATTCTAGACTGCAGGGTTTCTACCACTATGCCTGGCTCAGAGTGCTTTGTTTTAAAAGAAAAACATGAAAGCAGTAATCAACACTTACCATAGATAAATCTAAATATAATCATTATTTTATCCAACATTTTCTCAAGCTCTTCGTCTGTAGCTTCTTTGTTGCCTGCACGAAGTTTTGAGTCCACATACTTAGCTAAAATGAAGAAAAAAGATAGTTGTTCAGTGACCATGGGTATCTAAAAGGTACTGACCACTACACATACCCAAACAGGACTATTAAATACTCTTCAGCATTTCTACTATATGTATATGCATTTTATAAGTCTCCATTATAAGAGAGATCAAGTTAACTTGTCTATGTCATGCGACTAATAAATATTGCAACTTACAAGCATTGAGTCTGACTCAAGACTTCCTGGTATAATGATATATCAAAATGGAGTATAGAAGGGCTACATGTGTAGCTCTGTGGCAGAGTACTTGCCTAGCATGTACAGGGCTCTGGGTTTAAACCCTAGTACTTCAAAGTTGAGAGAGAGGAAAGAGAGGCATAAAATCAAATACAGACAAGCTCATGGTGGAGGCTGTATGTTGGTAAACAAAGTTACCAGAAAACGTGGGTGTACTCTAAAGTTTCTATTTTACATAGATGGTCAGCAACCTTAAACATTACTTTTCTATTTGAATAAACCAGAAACAACAGAGCAGAAGGCATAATTAATGAAAAGTTTTAAATGCAAACAAAATTTGACTTCAAACAAACCTCACTTCATCCTTCTGCCAGAGGACCTAGTTCCCTAGGGGACTAGTGCATGTGTAAGGAACTGTGGAGAACACTGTAACACACCTGTATATTTAGTGAGTCTACGTCATTAGATTTATTTTCATCCTGGACATTTTAATTCCTTGTTATTGGAAATTTCATGCAGGGCTTTTCCTGTAGCTGTAACTGGAGGCCTTTAGAAAATAGTACGCTACCCTATTTCTAAATCACTTACAGGCTTAGAAATCACAAAGTCAAGTTCACCCACTAAAAGTAAATGGGGTCCAATGTTCTAGCTCACAAAGAATTTATATCATGCTTGGCACAAAGGCTTTAAGAAGCTGTTTAGCTTGAAGGAATTTACATCTTACATACATGTCCTTAGAGACACTCTTTCAGACTTGGTATTACTAGCTAAGCAACATCAAACAAACAAGATATAGGTATAATATGGTTTTAACTCAGAGTTGATCAATAAAAAAAATTATACAACCAGAATAAGAATGAATGTGAAACATACCTATCAGTTCAGCTGGCTTATTTGGTCTTTTATTGATGAATGTTTCAAATGCTTCTTTCATAGCATTGATAAATTTTTCATTTTTCAGAAAGCAGGTATCAATTATATGGTCAACTTTATCTTTGAAGTCCAACAGTTCTTGAACCATGGTTTTGTCTTTTTCAGGATTAATAACAATAGTACTTCCAAAAGCCTAAAAATGAAAATGGTATAATGAAAATAATCAACAAATCATATTCTAAGTTGGTCCATGTATTTAACAACCATAAAAAAAGTGCAGCTGTCTCCAAAGGGAGATAGAAAATACTTAAATAATCATCCATAAATACAAAACTTAATAGCCATTGGGTATGATATCCTAATGAGGTGTTATTATTAGACTCTAGAAGCTTTTTCTTATTATTAGGGAAGTCAGATCTGTACTTTAAAAAATAGGAATGTGGTAAGATAGGGAGGGAAGGAAGGATTTATGGTTCAAACTTAGAATAGACCCTAGACTTTATCTTAACCAAATGGCTGCAGAGTGCTAACAATCCTTTAATTTCCCATATTCACTGACTTAAATCTTGGAGCTAGAAATCCCATCAAACATCACTCAAGTTTTATTGCTGACTGCTGCACAGCTACTGTTCTCAGACTGATATGTCATTTTTTTATTTTTTTAAATTCCTTCCTTTAAAAAATGCATCTAATAAGAAATGCTGATATTCTTGGTATGCAGATTACAAAACAATCAAGAAAAACATCAAAGGGTAAACTGTTAATACCTTGATATACTCAATCCATTGCTGCAAGAGAACCTGAACTCCACCTCGAACTCTACTGAAGAGCTGATACAGGAGAGACAAATCTTGAATTCTGTTTTCATCAAGGAGGTTATTTAAACCTGGTTTGAAATATTTGGGGATTAAAATGTAAAAATCAAAGAGCAAATAAAATTGCCATTTATTTTAATAAAATGTAAGTTGAAATTATTATTGTGACTACTGGTCTAAAGTATAACTAAAATTTATGTGAGTAAAATTCAGTGTATCCTAGAAGAACATTAAGCTTTAGAAGTTCTTGGTTCTACATGCTAAGAACAACACAACAACACAACACCCACACACACCCACACCCACCCACCCACACACACACACACAGAGTCCCCCAACACGCAGACCAGTATAAAATATTCTTACATGTCCAAATTCCCCTGCTTTTGCTTTGTAATACTGAGGATGAACTCAGAACTCAGGGCAACTCACACATTAAACTGATCTACCGCTGACCCATTCCATCCAGTCCAATTTCTGGACTGGTGTTAGTTAGCAGAACTCTCCTGTGAGTTTCACTTCAGTCAACAAACTGCCAATGACAGAACTACAGAAAGTTTAGGACAATGAATAGAGGAAAGGTTTGCCCATCTTCCAAAAGGAACTACATGCTTATCAAGTTTTAGGTTTCCTCATTAAACTTTGTTGTAAGGGTCTCAAAATTCTTTGACAAATTTTTGGTCAAGCTGTTTTCATAAAATGATTTTAATTTAAGCACTAAAAACTTAAAACTGCTACACAGAAAACAATCCCCAAAACACCTCCCTTTCCTTCTGATGCTTAGCTCTCAATAAGTTGTTTTTACTAATCTTAAATGGCCAGCTGAGACAAACAGTTCTGAGAGCATTCTTCCACCACTGATTAAGACTTGGGAAGCAGAGGCAGGTGGATCTCATTGAGTTTGAGGGCAAGGCTGTTGCACAGAGAAACCCTGTCTTGAACCCCCACCCCAAAAGACTAGGGTGGCACATGTTAGGGACAACATTCATTTAAACCTTATGAACTTCCTGAGCAGACTTGATGGTGACATTATGTAGTTAGTTTTTTTTTTTTTTCATTTATATTTTACTTTTCATGTGTACAAGTGTTTTTTCTATATATATGTGCAGTATGCAGGCCTAGTACCCACAGACAATAGTAGAGAATACTGGATCCCCTGAAACTGGAACTTTGAATGGCTATGAGGGGTCATGTGGGTGCTGGGAATTGTTCGACTCCTCTGCAAGCGCAACAAGTGCCCTCATCCACTGAACCATCTCTCCAGCCATACTAATCTTTTATTTACAAATTTCCAATTACCTTTCTGAAGAATTGCTGTTAAGTGTTCACCTAGAAGTTGTTTTTCAACAGAAGCAATTAGTGACTTCCTATAAGGAAAAACAGAATTATTGAAATTTAACCCTTTGAGAAATGTAAAGCTTCTATAGAAAACAAGTCAAATATTTCTCTTTACATTAATTTTGCCATTTCTATCCCATGTGTCAATTTAATACTACTCAAGATTTACTCTACATTATATCTAGAGGAAGAAAAACTAATGTGTATTTTAAAAGTTGCTCAAAGTAATGTGTTCCAAGGTCTTGAGTCCACTTTTTTTCAAGTTTCTTAGCTTTTTAGCAAGAAGGTAAAACAGTTATATCTACACTGCTTAACGAGCTTTGTTAGTAAGATTTTAAAAGTACATAAGAACTTCCTTTCTTAACACCCACTCAGTGAGTTTTAATCAGTCTAAACATTTTAAAAGCCGGGCATGGTGGTGCATGCCTATAATCCCAAAACTTAGGAGGATGGCATGGAAGACTCTGAGTTCCAAAGCAGCCTGGGTTTTACTGAAATCCTGCATCAAAAACACCAAAAAAAAAAAAAAAATTTAAGGATCAGCCACTAATACTATTTTAAAATGATATACTAAACACACCCATCCAATAACCAAACCCTTGATTAAATCTAATTGACTAGGAAAGTAATAACTTGAAGTTCACATTATGAAAACAAGTGATAATACTTACTGGGTGGTCTGATCTAAGTAAGTAATAAGTCTGTCTGCTTCTTCTTCTAGGCGTTTATTAACATGATGAAGATACTCAGGAACCTACAAAGATAGTTTTTTTTTATATTATTGTTTTCCTCCCCTTAAATCACTCAGAAAATGTCAAGTCCAAAAGATGCAGGGAGCAGCCCCGTCAAATGTGACAGGGTAGAATCATACGTAAAATTAGAGGTAGAGTTTATGATCCGTAACTTTGGCCTTTAAGAAGAAAGAAAAGAAAGGAGCACCTAAGTGAGAGAAGAGCATTACAATGTTGGGAATATAAAGACAAAGGGAAGTTTGTGTTCTACAATGCAATGTCTACTATATATAAGAAATAGTGGATTTCTCAATCATGTTCTTTAAATACCTCTCTTTCTTGCATTAACTTTTGACCTTCAGCTGCATAAAGCCGGTTAGTTTCTTCTAAAAATCGTTGTTCAAAAGAGTCTTGGTAAATCTAGGAGGAGGGGAAAAAACAATAGCATTTGTTTGTTCATTAAATATTTACTGAATGTCTTCCGTCTGAACTCTATTAGAACAGCACTCTATGGATTTCAAATATCAAACTAGAACAGTAATCAGATTTGTAGGCAGTACAGTGAATGTTAAGTACAACTTACTTGCAAATCAGACAGCATACTTAAAAGGCTTCGAAGTAAACTTCTATCAATTGCTTCACCATTTCGCTCTCTCTCAATCAAGAGAAGGATGCCATCAATTGTTTTCGTCTGGACTTTTTGATCACTTATAATATGAGCCCTAAATAACTCTAATCCCATGTCCCTAAAATTAAAAACAAAAAGTATCATCTAAACTGGCAATATCTAATCTTAAGAGGTTTAGTTTACTTATCACATGTTAACTGGAGCCCCAGAATTTGAAGAAATTATTATAAAAGAATAAAATCAACATTTAATTTTGAATAACATTATTAAAGTATACAGGAAACTCATTTTGTCTTTAAAGAGAACTAAAACTGAAATCCTGGCTTTCTCCATAACTTAGTTTGAGTGTCTTATTTCCTCTGGTGGCTATCTTTTCTTAGTCAAATCAAAGATAAAATTAGTTCAAAGACATAAGATAATTTTCACTATCCTGGCATTGAGAAATTTATCTGTTATTTATTAGCTGCCTTCAGAACTACAGTGAATTTCAATCATTACTGTAGATATATACTATTCATTTAGAGAGAGACCAATTCATTATTTTATTCTCCTCAACTAACAGACTTTTCAGTATATAGTCACAAGAAACAACAACAAAACCTTAATGATCAGCACCAATTTCAGGCAAAGGAATTGTACAACATGTACCTAACATATGTACCTAACATGGAAATGTCTTCATACACTGTGTGGTAAAGTTAGCTTTCTACTATATTAGAACAGGCACAAACACAAAAAAAGCTAGAATCCAAATGTGAATTTTTAGGAGAAATTCTGAGTACATCTTGTTCTCTTTCAACTATGATACATAACAAAAATTTTCATAATAATTTTCTGGTATCCTTACCAAATGGACGGTAGCATTGAATTCTGAAGAACATAAGTTCTATCCAGAAACAAAAAAATGCTCCTGATCATTATCTGTCAAAAAAAAAAGAACAAGCAATTTTTGTAATTTTGAAACTGTAGTATTAGCTCTTAATGAAAATTTGAAAGATTTTATACTAAACAGACTACTAGGATCCAACATGCAAATCAATACATCTAGCTGAGAATATGTCCCATATATTTATCTTTAAAGTGCCCTATTTTATTAATCCTTCTTGTAATCTCTAGAAAACTGGGAAATAAGATGGTCCTCTGATGTCTTTGCTACTTAAGAGGTAACTGAAAAAGGAAATAGGAGGTAGGTAAGGAGTATGCCTGCAAATCCAGTACTCAAGAGGGTAAGAGAGGAGGATCTTGAGTTTCAGGCTAGCATGGACTACTTAGTGAGTTCTAGTCCAGCCTGTGCTACACAGTGAGATCCTATCTCAGAGAAAAATAGAGGAACTCCAGCCAGTTCTGTTGAGAAATTTGGTTGCTAAAAATTTTCTTCCTACAGGATCCCATGGAGCTATCATATCCTATTTCAGCAGGAAGGAACCTTAAGATAATGACACCCCCTTTCACTACCCTTGGAATTTGGGGATAATACTTATCTTCTTTGGGTTGATTTTAGTTATTTAGGGTCGGGTATGGAAGGTGATGCTTACACTCGGGTTTATCTTTTAGACAGGAATAGGGTATGGTTGGGAAAGGTATGGTTTAGATGGGATATAGGTAGATTAGCCTATTTTCTTGTTAATTATTGAGTAAGAGTGAGATAATACTATTTTACAGCTTACATTGTTATATATTCTTATTTGTGGTAAGCTATGTACAATTAAGTTTATATTTTGTTATATTGTGTGAAATCTTTCCACTTATGTTTTATGCACATTATTCTTACCATATTCTATGTATGTATACTTTTACTTATGTTCAAGACATTTCATATAATGATACAATTTATGCACCTTTATTCTTGCCATATTCTATGTATGTATACTTTTCTTGTATTCAAGACATTTTTTATATTGATACAATTTGGGATATTTATCATGCTGCCCTTTATAGTTCTACCTCTTGTCTTGACATTTCTACTCTACCTCTATTTTAGAGATTTATATGTATGTATATGTACATAGTTATATTCTTTAGGTATCTGTTCCTGCTTTACTCAGGGAAGTTTCAATCAGTTTTTTAGCTAAGTTCCTGAGTGTTACAGATTATCTTCACTCATGTTTCCTTTACCTATGAGATTAGTCAGACATAGATGTTTAATCTTCAATCACTTCATAGACATGCAGAACATGATATTTAAATGTTTTAATATTAGTACTCCATTGACATGAGACACTGTTGCTCCTGACAGCACCATGTACTTTCCCGATAATATGTTGGACATTGTTGTTGCTCCTGCTGGAGTTCATTCTCGCCTCAGCTAATGGCCTCTTAGGCAAAGAACTGCCCCCACCTTGACCACTGATTTGGACATGCAGTCCTATGTGCTTCAGGAGACAAATATAGAAGACTGCTGGACCTTGCCAAGTCAGGGTAAGACAGCCTTTCTACCTCCCTGCTGTTGTTGTGGTCTGTAAAGTACTCTTGGCCTTCGCCAAACTGGGTGTACCTACATTGCTGTGAGACCTAGGGTGACTGTCCAGGTAACTTGCTGTTTTTGTCCTCACTGCACCTTTTGGAAGTTGCCCATCTGCACTTCCTGTCTACCCTAGTATCGCTATTTTCCTTCTCAGGTTTTGATGAGGTTGAAGATTAAACTATCATAACTATTATTCTCTCTTCCTAGTTAGATATATTAGGTACTAGACTTACGTTTTCCAGCTTAGGACACCTCTATTGTAAACTCCAATATGCCTTCACCCTAGGACTAGATATGTAGGTCGTTTTGTTCTCGATTTTCCTTTTATTAGAGCACATTTGTTATTCACTGTTTTGTATATAGTTTTGTATCAAGCCTAAATCTTTTCTTTAGACTAAAAGGGGAATTATAGTGGGATATTCACTTTGTCTCCTCCTGTAGCACTGGCCATGCTCATTGTGGGGTGGAGCCATGGGCGGAAGCGATCTGTGGAAGGAGGTCTGAGGAGGAGCCAGGGAAAGCTCTCTTGGTGGCGGGAACGAAGAGGAGAGCATCCAGTGGATCTTGCTGGTGTTCATCTGTCTAGGTTGTTAAGTTATTTCTCCCTGAATAAACATCTATTCAGCCTATTTGTTTATCCTGATCCTTATTAAACTGCAATAGACTCCAAAGTACACTTAGTTCTTCCTTATCAGCAGTGGTAGGGAGATAAAGCTATCTTAAACTGTACCCATGGCATTCAGGGTGTGGAAAGTGGATTTACAGATTTCTATTTGCATTAATATAAAAAATAAACTGACACCAGACTAGGGAGGATGAAGAAATATTTCATCTAAATAAACTAAAATACCAACTTTCACATGCAAACAAATAATATATGGGGATATTACCAACAAGACTAATAGAGGAAGATGCAATTTTAATGAGAAATAATTTTGGGTAAGTAACTCAGAAAAAAAGGAAGTCGGGTACGATAGATGATACTATATAAAACCTAGCACTCAAGAGGTTGAGGCAGCGGAATTAGAATAACCTGGGCCTGGCATGAACTATATAGTAAGCTCAAGCTAGTCTAGATACAGAATACGACCCAATTTCAAAACAAAAACTGCATTCAACAACAACAAAGACTCTTAGTATGGAAATCATTCTGAAATGCTGGTTTACCTATAACTTACAGTTTTAAAGGAAAAATTCAACCAAAATTAGCTTCCAATTTAGAAAAAGAACAATTATAGAGAGAGCCTCCCTACTACAATACTTTTAACATTAGTGTTTATTACTTTAATTATTGTGTATTAATTATACAAAGCAATGGGTTTCAATACCACTTTCATATATGTATATCGATTACATTATTTCATTATACCATTTTCATACATCTATATTACAAAGCTCTTATTTTATTCACCTATTTCTTTTGCCACAAGGTATTGCTATGTAGCCCAGGCTAGCTTAGAATATATAATGCTTCTGTTTCAGTCTCCCAAGTGCTGGAACTCCAACTGTGTGTTGCCACATCTGACTATAAAGTTGTGTTATTATTACTATACAGTGCTCAGGATGTAACCCACAGTATCATTCAGGCTAAGCTAGTGCTTTAACATTCAGCTACACTATAATTCCTCCAACAAAGCTGTCAAACATTCTAGCACTTTAACTTGTTTGAAGTGTACTGCTATTTTCAACTTACCATTTGCCTACAATGATTCTGCCAGCATTTATCAATCTTCTTAAGAAAAAGAACACTATCCAAAGAATCCCTGAGACAGATGTTAAGGATATTTTAAAATGTTTC